TCTTTCAAGTGCTTCACTATAATAAAATGTCACAATCAATTTGCGTTTTGTGTAACCATTAATCGTTGGATCACAATTAAAAATAGCGCAATAAAAATTGAAATCTAAGCTTCATCAGACTTTGAAGTACAACTGACGGACTATTTAAACACTTTGAAGTTTTTGGGAAAAAACACTCATTAAGTTCTGCTTTATTTTCAATTGATTCTCTGACTGATTTAATAATAACATCAATGTAAACTCCAAAACATTTTGTGGTTTCAATAAGGTCAGGAAGTATACAAAGACGTGTTTGTGATTCACTACACAGCTCGTTTATAAGTGTATAAATATCATTGAACAAACACACACTAAAATGAATATAGGAGTTGTTCAAAGAAAATATTTCGATATAATCTTGCATTTCAACGTCGAATTCTTGAATTTGTTTATAGACCATTTCGCCAAATACATCTGCTTGTTGTTCTTCGTCTTGTAAAAATTGCTCAATCAAAGATTCACTTTTCAGGATTGCCGACGAAGAATTTGCCATATAGTTCCACATTGTTGCAGAGTAAGTGGATAATTTACATTTTTTGTGTTATTGGAATTACAAAATGTGTAGTATTCTTTTAGCTTCGTTGAGTTACACAACCATTTAATAAATGTTGTCACTATATCGAATGGTGATTCCATACCTACATCTTGGGCAAACAAGTTACATCTATGAGCGGGGCAGTGTACTCCATAAAACTTTCTTTCAATTATATTTCCTTCTGGATTTTTTATCGGAACCAGTTTCATTTGCATATGTTTAATCATGCCGTTATCACACCCCATATTTGTTGATGCACCATCTTGTGTGCTTCAAATAAATTTACACAATGGGAACAACACTTCTTTGTTTGTATCAAAAGCAAGTGCGTTAAAAATCCATTCGCACATTGATTCACCATCACTTTCTCCATAATACTCTGACAATAAAAGGGGACACTCATAAAAATCAAATTTCATACACACACGTATAAAAATTGCAACAAATGTTATCCCATCCTTTTTATATGTATTAGTTGCAATTGCAAAACAAACACAATTTCTAACATCTTCGATAAGTTGTCTCGAGGTTATACTGTTTTCACTCTTCAGTCGACGACGCGCACTTCTTAAACTAACTGCGAGTTTTTTATATTTATCAACTGCGTCTGGAGTCAATTGGGATGAAGAAATCACCAACGATTGTTTCAATATTGAACAACATGTTTCAGAAAATTTGTATTTGGTTGTCAAATGATTTATGACGTTTTGAACAACTTTCCGTTTATGAGTTAGAACTTTTTTTCGTTGTTGTTGTGTTGTAACTTTTTCGTCCTTTGTTGTATCAGAAAACAACAAGTCACAGGCTCCTTTAAATTTAATCAAATCGATTCCAATTGGATCTTTACAAAATTAAATTGAGTGTCTCAATATTTCCTCGTCATCGTATTCACTAAAAGGAATTTCAGTGTATAATGCAAAAACACCATCGTTAAACTTAAACGTTTCTTCAACAAAGTATTCAAGTTCTAATAATTCACATGTTGAATTTTGAGACTCAATTTCAAATTGGTGTTCAGTTGTTGATGAATCATTTAATGGATTTGGTGTTAGTGGAGAAATTGTATTAGAGAAATGATCTTGATCATGATTATAAATTTCTCTTGTCGATGTAATTTGATTACACATTTCTTCATGTTGCAATTTACTTTTTAATATGTCATTTATATTTTCGGGTGAATTCTGAGGCAGACCAAATGCTGATGGAATGATTGAGAACATAGAAGAACTATATTTGAACGCAGAAGGTGTGTTAGAATTAATTGGTACAATATTACTTGCCGAAGATGGAATGTTGAATAAGGAAACTGTTGGATTGTTTGGCAGTAAAGTTTCTATACATAAAAAGTAAGTGGACATAATGTTGTGTTTGTTATTTGTAACATTGGAATATTTTCAATGTGTGTAGATATGTTTAAATTCGATTTGTTTATATTGGTTAAATAATTTGTGTTCATTAAATAATTGTTTAATAACAAATTTGAAAATTCGAGTCGTTCTCTGTGAATTGGATTGTTTTTCTGGAGCAGAGTTTGCGTTGTATCGTCTCGTTTGATATTTTTGTTGTTGATTGTAAGTGTTGGATGTTTATTAGAGGGGTCTATAAATGCTAAAGCCTCTTCTTTATTGTACACAATGACAGTAGACTCGTGGCATTTATGATTGTTTTTCACTCCACGTGTTTGCCACTTTTCGCATATAACACAATAATAATAATTATCGTCTCCCCTTTCTGCTTTAATAAATCCCATGTCCATGTTGTTCCAAAACCATTTGTTATTACTAAAACGTACATTCATCTTTTTTGTTTTATTTTTTGTAGTTATATTATTCAATTTATATTTATTTTAAAATTATTGTTGTTATTGTTGTTATTGTTATTTCATTAATAACAATAATCCTCTTTAGCTAATCACAATTTCAAATTACACGTTTATACTCAAATTCCATCTTTAATGCAATATTCTGTAAAGTAAGAGAATATATTCAAGGTGTTGTATAAGAGGAAGAAATATGTGCAGAGATTTCATTAAACAACATGTTACTAAAGATTTATATGATTATGACGCATGTTTGTTTTATCTGAGTGCAATTCAAAGGCTAAAGCTGGCCACTGGAAAACTAATAGTAATACCACTGGAATTCCTTAATTGTACTCCATTAAACCACTTAATTTTAGAACAACAATTAAT